ACATAGATGGCCTTCTTCACATACCTAAGACCTGCAGAGACTTCCATTATCCCTTGCAGCAATGCAGAAGGGATTTAGGTCTCCTTAGCTGACTTGGGGTCAGGAGCCCCATGCTGTGACCTGCTCCTTCAGCTTTAGAACCTGTGCCACCTGCTCTGGATGCAAGTTCCATTTCTTGCTTCTTGGAAGCAAATAACATCACTAAAAATAACCACTACAAATAGCACCCCAGGACACTATGATATTCTAACATGTAATATTCCCACGGATATTATAAAATATATGCAAGTATTATTTTTATCATCAATAACCAATAAAATGTACATGGGTAAGTTATGTATGAAAATGTCATAAACAATAATTTCAGATTTCTTGAAATGTTCTAAGAGTGTAACCTCATTCATGTGTTCTTTTAGAAAAATAAATGATAAAGGGATAAATTAAAGGTATGTCTATAAAATAAACTTACATAAATGCACTTAATAACATGTGTACTTTGTCAAATAATATAAATATGTAATCTAAAAATCAAAATTATTATTTCAAATTTACATTCTATTTATGCTTTGTGAGGTATACCCAGCATGCAAGTACTGAACTAAGCAATAATTCTGGAATCACGGAGTAGACAAAGCATGGTAACTTTTGATATGTGCTTTTGGTATTTGCAAATGGATTATAATAGACTTCTCTGAGTACTACTCTACTTGCTAATATAAAAGGCACCGGACACTGTGTGCTATTGGCTAAACTGTCTTGGCACCTCAGGTTATGTTTTGGAAAAGGAGTTTGTGGCGGGTGCAGAACAGCCCATAAGACTAGGGCCCCTGCAGTGTGGTTTTGTAAATCCACACCAGGGGCCTCACTCTCCGGCTCACCATACAGCTGTACAAAGCAAGGAACTCAAGGTGACACAGTGACAATAGCGACATTTTCCAGCCAGGAACAAAGTCCTATTCAAACCTACCAGAACTCACTTGTTTTTGGTTCCAGACTTTCAGCCTCCCAAACTGTGAAAAATTAAGTTCCTGCTGTCTACACCAACCAATTTGTCATGTTTTGTTACTGTAGCCCTAGCTGAGCAAGGCAAGATGAAAACGGCTATATGTGTCACAGCCCATGAAGGCACATCCCTGTGGCAGGAATTTTATACTTTCCTGGGCATAGGTGCTTATTTACCCCACAGTATAACACAATTTCACGTAAGAACTATATTTAATCTAGTACCTCCAAATCGTGATGGTCAGTAGGGACAGCTTCTCTCTACAGAGAGCACAGACAATGCTTGCAGGATACTTCTGGCATCTAGAGGGTAGGACCAGGGATGGTGCGAAACATCTGACAGGCACAGCACAGCTGCCTGCCATTGGGACTACTGCTTTGTTGAGAAATCCTGCTCTGAAAATAAAGAACTAAAAAAAGGTAAATTTCAAATGATGTCTTTAGGGTCGGCGAGATTGCTCATCAGACTAAGCACCTGCTTAGGCAAGCTCAGGGACCAGGGTTCAATCCCTGATATCATATGCTGTGCTGGGGTGGACCCTAGGCATGCAGAGCTGGCCACCAAGTCCATGTTACATGCCTGTAATCCCAGCACTAGGGAGGCTGAAAACAGGAGGATTACTACGAGTCTGAGCTGCTCAGTGAGATCCTATATCAAATACCTAAACAAATAAATTCAAATGATATCTTCTGGCCACATGTCATCTTACCACTACTTAATATTTTACAACTGAAGTTATAAAGGTGAGGCTAAATAAACATAACTATCCAAAAATCAACTTTGGTTGTTGACTATAAAGTACTTCTTGGCATAACTACATCTATTTTTTTCTTCTATGCACATATAAATAAAATTTCTTATGGAAATAGCTAGTGCCCAAGAAATGGAAATTTTCTTGTGCAAGTTAGAGAATTCGGTAGGAGTTCTTTATTGTGAGTAGACTTCTATATGTCAAATTTTTGTTTTCATTGTTCCATATTAGCAGTATATGGTCATCACATTCCTTGTGAGAATATGCGCCTGGGCCCAAGGCTTCATTCCTGTCCCTTGCCCTCCCTCCATTTCTTAGTACTTTTCCTTTCTCAAAATGTCTCCTTTTACCTGCCTTTTACTTTGCTCTTCATTTATCTTTTGGGTTTCCCCATAAGGGTCATCATGTAATATTTAAGCTTTGCAATCTTATTGATTCCACTTAACATTATGGTCTCAAGATGCACCCATTTTCCTGCAAATGACTCAAATTCTTCCTTCTTTATTGCAGCAAGTTCCTCCATTTGGTGTACTATGTTTAAATTTTTTAGTGGAGCACAGGGAATCGAACTCAGGACCTTATGCTTTCCAGGAGGGCACTGTGCTGCTGAGCTATATCCTCACCTACTACATGTTTTAATCCTTTGATCCATTGATGGACACACAGGCTGCTTACAACATGTACCTATTATCAGTTGTTCTGCCACAAATATTACCATGCTGTTCTACTAAATTAACATAGATTATAAATATGTATTATGGTAAGTAACAGTCTAATGAGCTTCTGAAGTTACTTAAGATGTTCAATTTTGGGTAAAGTACCAATAGAAGCTTTAATCAGCATCATGATACAAGGGAGCACAAATCCTTGCATGCCACAATCAGAAGTAATCAGGACCTGCATTTCTCAGGAAATCACGTGGTCTGCACTGTCCCTTGTGATTGTAAGCCCTCAAGCATACACAAAACCGAGTTGTCGTGATGTCTCCATAATGATCATTTGGTTGCCTTTTTCTTAAATCATAACTTAGGCCCTTTCTTCCTTGGTGGTAGTCTTCTTTAACCAAAAAGCAAATATTATTCTTAAAAGTGAACATTTTTCCTTTGCTATCAGACTTAAGTTGATTTTCCAAACAACACAGCATATGAATGAAAATGGTCCCTTGGTTATTACCTGGGAAACTTTAGAGGCCAGGGGACCAATTTGAGTAATTCAAGTTTAAAGAAAAGGAAAAAAAAAAGCTTATGCCTCATGTTAGTGTGTCAGCCAATATAAGACCTTTCCTTTTTTTTTTTTTTTAAGTGGAGGGGACACTGAATTATTTTAATTATAGATACAAAGCTTTTGCTTTGGAAGTAATAATTTTCTCCACTGAATTTAAGAAATGTGTGATTTATTGTATACGCTAGGTTTAAAATCTGGTTACAACTACTGTTGAAAGGAAAATTTAATATTTCTTTCTGAGTTAATTATCCAAAATAGGTACTTTCTGGCAAAGTAAATTAGTAGATGCTCTGCCTTGTTAAAACTCATGATTGTATTGTATACTTCAATAAGATGCCATTCTATAAAAGGTATCGATATTTGCCATTCTGAAAAACCCAGAGACAAATCTGCAGCACATGCAGACAAAGCTTCCTTCATAATATGTATCTAGAAGGCTATAGAAAATATGCAATGTCTTATTATGTAACATAAAAATTTGAGTTCTAAATATGCTATTACTTCTAAAAGGGTGAGTAAAGGAAGGCATGTCCTCTTGTCTTTAATGCTACTGTTATTTTAACGACCAATACAGGCACAATAACATACTCAAGGGGCTAAGAATCAGCATGAGGCAACCACACAGCAGTCTACTTAAGCATTTCAACAAAAACACTGTCATTTATCTTAATCATATTCTCTAAGTTTGTCTAATATTTTACTGATATTTTTGGTTCTCAAAAACTTTGTGGTCTACACAGTATGTTTCATTGTTTAATTATGTCCAGTAAGCACAAAGTATGTCATTATTGTCAAACCTGAAATAATTAAAAAGAATGTTTTCAAATTATTCTTAAAGAGAATACAAAATACTAGCAAGAAAACAGCAGCAACAATATACAATTCACTAAACAAAATAATAGGAATTTGATAAAAGTTGTTATATGTTGTTTTCAAATTAGTTTTTAGGATTACCAGGTATAAGCATGCAAAACTAGAAAAAAAAGTTATAGGAAATTAAGAAAAAGAAAAAATGTCTAAGCATTAACTTCTCCTTTCAGTAGATCAGCAGAAATCAGCAGTACACCTATCCAACTATATCTTTCCACTTCCTTCTTTCTTTTGTCCTATTTTAATCCCAGTTTTTCCTCCCCTTGTACAGATACCTTCTCTTTCAGAGTATCTATTGTACCTTTCAGATTTTATATACTCTCTCAGGCCCTTACACTAGCTGCTTTTGACTGGGATTTAATTCTTGATTTTCGTAATGACTGAGACTACCCCTCATTGTGTAGTATTAACTTAACTAGTAAGAATTGTTGATGCACTTTAAACTCTCATTTAAAAAAAAAAATTCTTATGTGATTGTACCATTATTTTTAATGTATATCCACAGTGCATATATCTTACTATAAACTACATACAGAGCTACAGTGAAAATCCAGAAAATAATGTCCACTCAGTTTCCTGTTAGCTAGCGAAAGTCTTTTCCTATTATAAGGCATTTTATATGCTTTATGATAGCATATAAAATAACTACATCCTAAAAAAATATACAAACATATTCTGTACTTTGTAAACTTTTTACATTATCTTAGAATTATACAACTGTAAATAAAAGGCTGTATTTTGATAATTTTATGAAAATAAAAAGCAAAATTCATTTTTGTTTGCAAGATTATCAAGTACTTTGCTTCCTATTACATGATTCAGTCTTTAGGCATAGTGGTAGGTAGCTAATTGATGCATTTTCTACCATGGAATGTAGCCTTACCTGTAGGATTTTGGATAAACATAAATGCAGTATCTAACCCGGGCTCAGCAATTTGTAAATCTATATAAATGTTTACACACAATAAAACATTCTCTACATTCTTAACATTTGCAAAGATATAGTTTACCTTACTGTAGGGTTATGAAAATGATCATCATCTTTAATCTGCTTAAAGCACTCTTAATAATTATTAGTTGTGCCAGATAAGAATTTGTTTAAAAACAATCTGCAACAAAATTATAGTTTTTGGATTGAAGATTGTCATTTACCAGCTCTTCCTGAAGTTGGGAGATGAGTTCGTCCCTCTCTTTCAGTTGCAGCTCCAGCACAGAACATTCATCCTTCACGATATCCTAGAAAAACACCAGAGAGATGGTGTGATGGGCTGTACCCTTTCACTTTGCTCTTGAAAAAAAAAAAGCCTCACACAGCGGGTGGTAAGCGCGTCTGACTAATGAAACTCGTATTTCCTCTACAGCATATTTTTCAAAATGTATTTTAAGTCACAAAAATCCCAAGCTAATGCCTTCAAAATGTTATGATAAATAAATGATTTGTGTGTCTGCATAAATATACATAGATTTTTTTTTAAAAAAAAAAACTTTTTGGTATTGGTTTGTCCATTGTGTTGCCTAAAAGAGCAATAAGCAAATAATCTTTCACACTTTTCTCTTATTTTCATGCATAATCAATGGAATACAATCCATACTCTAGAAGAGATAAGCTATCTAACACTCATTCCCCTAAATAGAAATTCTCAAGTCAACGATGGCCTTGTACCATTTGACTCTGTTGCTAGGAAACTTAGGGCACACTCTGCCAGACGTGCTCAGTCATGGACTCCGTATGCACGATACCTCCACTTTACAGTTTCTACTATCTACTAGGTTAGTAGTTGTGTCTGTAAACTTTCAGACATGACTACTCACCTAGAATTCTCTGTCATCTAAGCTACAAGTCCCAAATGCAAGTAGTTCCTGATCAACACTCAGCATTTTTCCACAGACATGCGCACTCAACATTGGATTCAACCTCTTCTCCTCTCCTCTTAAGACTTCACTTCTGCTCATTTTCTCCATTATCTGGCTTCTAAAACAATAGCCAGGAATTCGTCAGTACTAATCATATTGCACCACGCCTGGTCCCAAGCTGTTTAAGGTCTACATCCGTTGTACTTGATGCTCTCTAGTCCTCATCAATTTCCTTCAGTAACTCAATACTTCTTTTCTCAATTTCTGCAACAATAGTAGTCTCTTTTGTATTTTAAAGAGAACAGAAAAATAATAGATAAGACATTAGAAACAATACACAGCTTTACAAACACAAAAAAATTTTTCAAAATAATAGGTATTTATGGTGGTTGTTATATCGTCCATGGTTGTCTCCAATGTAGTTGTTCAGATTCCAAGATATAAGCAGATAAAATTGGTTTTTATCCCTATAATGGCACTGTCCAGAGAGATATTTTAAGTAAAACAAATCTAATCCTTCCTATTTTAACAGGCCATCACTTATTTTTTCAGGACAAATAAAAGATGACATTCTTTAGCACAGCATGTCGTCCCCTTGTCCTCTGCTGCTTCCACGTTGTAGAAGGTGCAAGCTTTTAGGTCTCCTTACATGCACATCTCGGGGTTTTACTGCTTTGCACTCATCATGGCCTTTACTGCTTACAATGATATGTTCCAGGATGCAGCTCAAGAATGGCCCTCCTCCAGCTAGGAAGGTGTCCCTTAATGGCAGAATTGCACTCCTTTGGGGAGGGGGATACTTTAGCATCTAAACCACACACTACCTCACAAAAAACCTACTGATGTCTTGTTTGTATCCCAATGACATTACACTAGCTTTTCCCCTCCTCATTCATGTTATAGCTGGTATTTCATTACCATACCATAAGAATCAGACTGTCACTGACAAATATACAGATGCTCAATTGTTGTTTTCTTTCTATAAAATTGCCAAACCAAAACATAAATATTAAAAGAAAACCCATATTCTTTTCATTTGATAATAAAATAAAGTATCTAAAGGATAAGAGAAGACAGAATACCTATTCATTCTCATTCTTGTGGTGTTAACAATCTTTACTTTACATTGAACAGTCCATAACATAGACCTCTAGTTTACTGTCACTTTGCCTTGGCTGATCATCAGACTCCTGGGAGATGCTAAATATCAGTCTATTCTTTATCTTTTAGTAGTCTTATTTCTTTCCTAAACCATGACTTTCATGGAAAGAGTCAATATTCATTATTTTTAAATATTATGATTATAAATTCTAGGTATTAATCGTAATGGCAAAAGGTTTAATTTGCTCCATGTAACAAATGAAAAATTAGCAAACTTAGTGGGCAAGAAAGAAAATCACCCTGTTTCTCAGGATCAGGGAAATCTTGGGGGATACTGCAAGTAACTGGCCACATGACCCTGCAGTAAGCATTTAATTTCTTGCAGCAGCCCCACACATATCCAGGGAGGCTGATGATAGCATCACACACGAGAAACTGCTTGACAATACAACTATTCTATTTTTTAGAATCCCAGATTCTTTTAATATTTCACTTAAGAAAAGTTAATTCCCTTCAAAAAACAAAAGGTTGACACCTTTGTTTGGTTGCCCATGAATTCTTCTGAGCTGATGCTGAGGATTCAAATAGCTGAGTGTCACAGACTGAAGATGCATTGTGTTGAAGACAGAGCCCAAAGCCTCCACTGCTCTAAGTCGGCCACTGCATCTGGCCACCCAGGAAGAGTTCACACTGCAGCTGCAGAGCCACGGCAGCTCCCAAAGGAGAACACAGAAGGAAGGAGCCAGCTCTGGCCTGTGCGTCCTTCACAGAAGTTTTACCTGAGAATCAGGCTTTATGTATTACAATTGTTTTTCTTCAACTGATTATCTACAGTATTTGGATGAGTTAAATAACATTTGATTGGTTGTTAGTTAATTTAAAAGGGATGTCATGCCAATATTGTGGTTACTGGACATTTTAAAGTAACTTAGCTTCTTAAACATATGTTCACTTTAATTTTTTCTGATTTTCTTCCTGGAGAAAGTTTTCAAGAAGTTCACAATCATAGATTTACATACAGTAGATTTTCATGCAGCATTTATAGTTATTTACAGAACCACACATACCATCAGAAGACAATTTATCAAAACCTCTACAAATGACTTTGGAAGTCAAATTAGTTATGCTGCAGAACTTTTCTTTTGCTATTCTATACACATGGACATCTCATAAATTAGGATCTATCAGACAAGATACAAACCTTTGAATAACACTCTCAAATAAAAGTTGAAAAAAAAAACAACAAACAAAAAACAAGAAAGGGCTGGCCAAATGGCTTATCAGATTAAAGCACCTGCAAGCAGGTACAGGGGCCAGGGGTTCGATCCCCACACCAGCCTTGCTGGCCCCGCCCCTGGGGCGAGCTGAGATGGCAATTGACACTGGGCATGGTGGCATGCACCTATAATCCCAGCTCTTGGAAGGCTGTGAACAGGTAGATCACTAGGAGTCTGATCTAGTAGTGAGACCCTGAATACCCTGTAGACCCTTGCCTAAAATACAGAAAAAAAAGTTTATAGCAAAAGCTCCTCAATATTCTCACTGCATCTGCAAAACTCTGTAATATAGTTGGCAAGATGCTTTATAGAGTTTGAAATCATACAGATGTGTAGAACTGAAGGCATTTTAATATTCTTTGGTTTCAAAGTAAAATCATTATGTTAAACTGTAGGTTAATGCAACAAATTTAACTTGTAATTTTGAATATGCACAGTATTCATAAAAAACTACACAAGCTAATAATGGTGATATCCAGTTTCTTATTCAATTATAATTAAATTTTAGGACTAAAATTAAATTCTATGATATTTCTTTCAATAATTATGTACAAAATGGAAATCAGAGAGGTAGATTAAAGACAGATGCTGTCTCTATTGAAAGGTGGAGTTTAATGCTCTCCTTCTTGGTCCTCATTATAACAGAGAATGGGCAGAGATTAAGAATAATAGAGGGATTGATGTTATAAACTACCAGTTGTTTTTCACTCTTATAAATGGAGGAGACTAAAAATGTGGGAAACACCACTGTAGCAGAATCAACAGGGCTGGCGAGATAGCTTTTGCAGTCTAAGCATCTGCTTTAGTAAGCACAAGAACCTGGGACCAACCCTGCTCCCACATGTCCTGCTGGCCCCACCCCAGATGCACTGAGCTGGTCCCCAAAACCAGGCTTGGTTTTGCTCCCCTATAATCTCAGCACTGGGGAGGCTCAAGCAGGAGGAGCACTACTAGTCTGAGCTACATAGGGACACCCTGTACCAAATACATAAAATTAAACAAACAAGGACAGAATTTTATGAACAATTAAAAGACAGAAGCAAGAAAACAAGAACAGGGGAGGATGCCAAGGCAGAAATTATTACACAACTATTTATAACAATTGATAATGCAGTTCTTCTGCTGACTTAGTTTTAAAGTTACATGTTGTCCACAACACCTGGGCAGTAGTGAACTAAAAGAGTGAAGGCAAACAATCATTCATGTTTTTCAGATGTTGAGAACTAGGTCAATAAAACTGCTGCCTCAATTCTTCTGTATAGCATTTGGTTTCATTATCCAGTTCAGCATTAATCATTGCTGCATGATGTTATAAAAATTTCCATCTTATAAACATTCAATTAGAAAGGTTAATTCAATTAAAAAGATTACAGAAATTTCTTTGCATGCTCACTGAAAAGAACATTCCATTGATTTATTCTCAGAGTTTTTTCTTTGAATATTACTCTCACAAAAACGTGAAAGTAATAAGGCCTAATATTTTCTGATGTTTTAAAGATATTACAGATTAGGAAGGCTTAATCTGAAGTGCTGCATAATCCAAAACTTTCTTATGCCAGGGGTAAAAAGTTCCAGGCTTTTCACATGGAAGAACACAGTTGAAACTCAGGTGTAAAAAAAAATGTAGAAAATTACTGCCAGACTATGAGTAGAGGTTTCACAAATTGTAAATGTCATGTTTAACCAGGATCCCCTACATAAGATATCTTATGTTTACATGCAAATATTCCAACATCTAAAGACACTTAAAAATAAAAAAAAAACATTGTTTATCCCAACCATTTGTATAAGGGAAATTTAATGTTTTCTGCACAATATTTACTAAAAATAAGTTCATTGCTTGCTAAAGGAATTATTGCTTTCTTTTTAAATAACAAGTATATTACCAAATAGTAACATGTTTGTATATCACTTAATAAGAATTGTATATAACTTAATAATTGTATATCACTTAATAAGAATTGCATATCACTTAATAAGAATTTTTAGGAGAAATTTCCTTAA